GAGAGAGAGAGAGAGAGAGAGAGAGAGAGAGAGAGAGAGAGAGAGAGAGAGAGAGAGGAATCTCCGTGGACTCGTGGAGTCCATCTTCCAAAGAGAGAGAGAGAGAGAGAGAGAGAGAGAGGAATCTCCGTGGACTCGTGCAGTCCATCTTCTTTTTCTTTGCCATCGTTGTCCTGGGTGGACCTCTGACGGTGTATTCCATCATCTGGGGTTGACTGCTGCCTTTGACCGCTTGCAAGTTGCAATCAGTTAGTGAGAGGATAGATTGGACGTTGTTGACCAATTGCAGGGTAATGAATGAGTGGAGTTAGCAATTGTTATCTGGTGGAATTGGTGGATGTAAAGCGTTCTCACGCTAGGACTTTGGGGAATGCATCTGAAGGCAATCACGGCTAGGCGTGAACGTATCTGTCCGGAATTACGTCCAGAGAGCGGTCGAAAAAGTACCAGTGTGACCACACCCTTAGCGTTGGCTAGCACGTTCTCAATCACCGGACAAGCAGAAGTTGAGACTTCGCTTTTGTTCTTTCTGTCAATCCTCACGTAAAAGCTTATCCGAAGACAGAATTTCCGAATCTGGATATTATCTCATCCAGCTTGCCCGGATAGAATTTCGGAAATCGGGATCTCTTATCTTATCCAGATAACATATCCATATCGGGATCTTATGTAATCCAGATAGGATATCCAAATCTTGATCTTACCCTGATCCAGATAGATCATCACGAATCTCTATCTTATCCGGATTTCGGATCAAACACCCAAATCTGGACCTTTTGTCCGGATTCGAAAAAAAATAAAAAATAAAATATAAAATAAAAATAAAAATAAAATCCGGATCGGCATCGGGATCTTATCTAGAGAAGCGGTTGTTTCGACGGAAACCAAGAATAAAGTCATCATCAATTCATTTCCTGTTGACGACATCACAAAAGAAGACCACGAGAGAACGACGACCGTGGATAATTTCTCTCGCGGCCTCCAATCGTCGGAAAGCAAGTTGATGAGCTGTAAAGCGGATAAACAAACGGATAAGGAAATGGATAAGGAAATGGATAAGGAAATGGATAAGCTGGAAATGGATAAACTGGAAGTGGATATGGATATGGATATGGAGAAGAAGGTAGAGCAAGGCGGGACCGGCACACTCAGACGCAGGCTGCTGAATCGTCAGAGAGGGTGGAAGAAAGACGGAGCGAATGAGTCGGAAGAAGATGACCACATGCACGACCGTGAGGAAAATGGCGATCGTCATAACAAAGAGATCGGGATCGGGACACGAGGGGCAGAGAAGCGAATGACGATGGACGAGCAATCGGGCTTAGGCTGCGTACTAGCTGAACCTGGTCGCGATACCGTCTATCATGGGACAGTATCGGGGGCGGTTCCAGTGGTGGACGATCAGATCGCTTTGGCTGGAGACAATGGAGTGCACTGCGCGCCGATGTCTACGCTTGCATTACCTACCGGTGGCTTTGGTGGTCCCCCCCACCGGAACGTTTGTGAAGACTACGACGTCGTGCCTGCCAGATCATCCAATCCACATACCACAGGTCAGGCAATCAACAATGTCAACGGGGCCTATCAGCCAATCACGCACAAGAGGAAGATTGCGAGTGACGTGGGGTTGGCGGAAGCGGCAGCTCGGCAGACTCAGCACACTGCTGATCAGCCACCGGCCGTCGGTTGGGATGAAGAGGATCGGTCGTCGACCGAGTGGACACGGTCGCCCGACTGCACTACCAGTAGTTGGGCTACTGCTTCTGCTACTGCCACTGCTACTGCTGCCACCGCTCCGATCTCCGGCCACGTGGCGTTCTATGCAACGTCGACTGCAGCAGTTCCTGCCGTCCCGACACCTGCTGTCCCGACTTCTGCAGCTGTTGATTGCCCAGTCGAGTGGACGGCAAAGGACTCTTCGGAGCAGCAAGAGGAGGAAGAGGAGAGGGAGAAGGAGCACAAGGAGGAGGAGGAGGAGAAGGAGGAGAGCTGGATGAGGTTGAGCCTTCCGTTGCACTGTGAGAGACACACGGACGAATTTCTCCGTCTCCACAGCTGCTCACGCAGAACTGCAGGTCAAGCTCCGAGTCTGCTGGAGTTAAATGGGAGATTACCGTCTGAAGCTGCCAGTCAGTGTCTCTTGGCCGGTCACACAGCCATCGATCCACTCCGGCTATCGCTATTACGCTCTCCGACATTGACGTACTATGAAAGCAGAGGAACAGTGGCGACGTCAGAAAGCTGCAGAGGGACGATGGCTAAGGCGGGAAGCCTTCACGAGACGGGTGAAACCAGGGAGAAGAACCACACGGAGGAGGAGGAGGAGGAGGAGGAGGAGGGCAAGAAGATCAAGGAGGAATCGTGGGAAATGCCTGTGCCGGCGTGTTGGCTATCTCTGGGTGTAAGTGCAGCTGCTGCCGAGGACACGGATGACGTCAACAAGAAGTCGAAGCGGAGGAAAGTAGTGGCCGTTGAGGGGGGAAGCCACCGAGCTCCCTCGAGACCCCCTGATGGTTGTAAGGGCGACTGGCCAGTTGGGCTTGTGAACGGATCGCTAAACGGAACACAACGGATTCCGTTAGCGCCATGCATGGCGGAGTCCGTTAGTATCTCTTGTTCTCCTCCTCCTGCCTCGTCGTCCATGTCTTCGTTGATTGGAGGAGGAGGAGGAGGAGGAGGAGGAAGAGGACAAAAGATTGCCGGCGTTGATTGCACGACAACGGAGGATGGCTATGGCATACCGAGCAACAGGATATGGTGGGCACAGCTGTGGCCAGGGAGCACGTCGTTATCTGCGGCTCCTTGCCCTCCAATTGCCAGTCCGTTTGGAGCAGAGCCAGGAGAAGGGGATAGGGAGGGGAGTGAGAGGGAGGAGGAGAAGGTGGCGGTGCTGATGTCCGGTACGCCGGGTACGGATCATCAAGTGGGAGATGGGGGACATGACAACTTGACGTTGAATCCTCGTGGGTGGTGGTCCCCACATCATGCGTACGATTCGGTACATTCCCCTGCATCTTCCGGGAATGCCGCCCTCCTGCCTCATCGTCCTTGTCCTCCAACGCAGGTCCCGTCGAGGACTCCGACGGGCCAGCTTGTCCCGATGGGAGGGAGAGAATGGGAGAGGGAGGTAGTTCCCAGAATGGACGGAGATCGACGGTACTGTGGAACCATCAGCACCACCTCGGCCCTCTGCGAGCTTCATCTCTCTGCACCGTTGACTACCATCTCTCCCCCTCTTGTGACGTCAATCTACAATGCAGTAGGACCACCTCCTCCTCCTTCTCCTCCTCCCTTCTCCTCCTCCTGCAGCGGTCCCTCCTCTTTCTATCGCTTTCCCGGAAGCAGCCATGCCCCTACGCCCCAGCCGCAAGAGGGAAGACGGCAACAGCTGCCACGATGCCAGCACCACCATACCTCCCACTCTTCCCCCCATTATCCTTTCTGCTCATCCGCCTCCCTACATTGCTTCCCTGAGAATCCCCCGCCCGAGGATGGCCACGGCTATGGCTACGGCTATGGCTACGGCTATGGCCATGGCTATGGCTGTGGCTATGGCCATGGCTATGGCTCTGGCCATGGCGGCAACAACTCCATCCACGGTGAGCATCTATGGAGGAAGAAGACGAAGAAGAAGACGCAGCTGAGTCATCAGGTGGTCAAGCCTGTGCCGAGGATTGCCCAGAGACTGTCGTCGGGATCGACCCTTGACCGGTCGGAGAGAGTCCCGGTCCCGATGGCTCCTCCTGTCTGGTCCACAGTCGGGACCAAGATGACTTTACCGGGTCAACGGTCAACGTATGGCCCATCTTCGTCGGCGGCCCATCACCACCAACGCACCACCACGTGCCTCCTCCATTCCTCCTCCTCCTCCTCCTCCTCCTCCTCCTCCCCCTCCCCCTCCCCCTCTTCACTGCATGACGGTGCCACGTGGCAGCAGCTTGTGCGGTCGCTTTCTCCGGTCGCGACGAGCGAAGATGTCGACAACAATGCCACTGCCACCCGTCCTGCGGACCTGGTGTTGTCGTCAACAACTGGATCATATCGACATGCACGACCTCCGCCGTTTGCCTCCGTTAGGCAAAACGGACAGCAGAGGCAGTCTGTCCACGTGGAAGGAGCAGAACAACGGCAGTCCCCGCTCTTGACTCTGACGTTGAGCACTGACGGGTCAGCGGCAGCTGCCAGCACAGAGGTAGCAGCAGCACTACAGCCCCCGGGCCGTCGATTGCCTCTGGCGCAGAGACATGACACGTCAGCAGCAGCCGTAGGAGTAGTAGATGTGACAGATACCGACAATACACACGTGGCAGCGCTGCAGTCCCACGTCGTGAATGCACCGGCAAGCACTGATCAGTCAGCAGCAGCCGCAGCTGCAGGGGAAGTTGGCACAGCCGCAGGAGGGAACGAGAGCGCTCCCCAGACTATCTCCAGAGGAGGAGACACGTGGCCATCCCTGAGCGATCCTCATCGGTCAGATCAACAGATCGCGACCGGGAGTGCAGAGCGTGCATCGGCAGTCGTGCCTATGAATCTGTACCGCTGGATGCAAGTTGAACCCACGTGGCGGCTTCTGAGCGCACACGATTCGATCAGCTGTACTGCAACTAAGATTGCCCAGCCCTTGTCGTCCCCAATAATTGCGTCAGGCACTGCCATCCCGACCCATCCACCTTGTCACCATTTGCTTGATCAAGCGATGGCAGCCTCTTTTATCTCCTCCCCTCCACCACCTCCTCCTCCTCCTCCTTCTGCTGTTGCTGCTGCTGCTATCGGTATCTCAACCCATCGATCTGCTGCTACTGCTGCACCTGTAGCTACTGGGATCCCAACCCATCAACCGTGTCACCATGGGCTTGACCAAGCAATGGCCGCCTCCTCTATCTCCTCTCCTCTACCTCCTGCTACTCCTATTCTTCCTCCTCCTCGCCCTCCTCATGCTGCTGCTCCTTCTGCTCCTTCTGCTCCTCCCATCCATCTTCCGTCTCTGCATTCCCTTCTTATTCCACAGAATATAGTGACACACACTCCATTGCCTTCGCTGAATGGCAAGCGAGCGACTACCAATCTGATGATCGACGACGGTAAAAGACCATGCCCGTCCTTATGTCATTGCGTGCTCGATGGGGAGGAGAAGGAGGTGCCAGATCTCTCCAGCGGCATGTCATCTGGCCAGCTATCGTCTTCGCCGTCTCTCTGTGGACCGACCGCGACTCGTAGTCCGCCGCCTCCTTTCTGGCGCGCAGCAACAACCACCCACTTCTCCCAGCTCTCTCCCGGCCTTCCATTCAATCAGATCTTGCAGGCAATGCTGGACATCAACGGTCAGCAGGGACCGGCAGCAGCAGCTGGCGGCTTGTCCTCCCCTCCAACTCCCACCCAAATCGCTATCGAAGGTCGTTCTCCATCTCTCACCACAGCTAAACCCGCGATAAACCCTTTCAGAGACAGTGTGAACACGGCTATCCTCTCAGCGACACCCCCGGTTATTAACCCATTAAATCCCCCCATTGCTAACCCAATTAGCCCCCTTTTTAACGCATTAAACCCGGGTTTTAGCCCAGGTAACCTCGGTCGTCCGCTCGTTACGGCGGTCGCTCACCCCTTGACAACCGCGTTGAGCACTGTTCACCTGGTCCCTCCCTCCTCGGCGACCGCTGCTGCGACTCCTCTCACCCACTCAACTCCTCCTACCGGTAGTAGTCCCATTATTAACCCAATCACCGGCTCTGTAATCAGCAACGCTAAGTTAATCGCAAGTTGGAACGCAGCGGTAAACTCACTGGGCGACATTATGACGGCGGCGATGTCGTACAGCTTTCCGGCTACTCCTACCGATAGCTGCGCGCCCGGCGTCGTGATCGCAGAGTCTTCTGCCCCCGAAGATTCGCAGAATCTTCGGCCGCCGATCGGTGCCAATCAACGGTGTACAGCGAAGGTGTGCACACGGATGGCCCCCCTGCACTTCTCATCTTCTGCCACGTCAGCAGGGTCGTCATTGTTCGTGCCGAGGCGCCGGCTGCGCGACTCTTCTGGTGATGGCGATCGCGTGTCCGACCGCAGCGATGGCCACGTGTCACCTGCTCAGCCGTCCACCGCAATCGATCGCGACACGATCGACAGGTCGGAGATCGGAATCGGGATGATGATGACGGCCAGAGAGGACACCGAGATCAGCCCTTCCCACCCAGCAGCCGAATGCCCGGCTATGGTGGCAGCAGATGGCGTTCTCCGCTCTCTGCTTCACAATCCTGCGGATCCCCGCCGTCGGATCCCCAACGCAGCGCAGCCTCATCGTGATTGTACACCAGCTATCTCTCCGGTTAGGTCCGGTCATGATGAGGGTGCGTTGTATTTGGGGGAAGACGGTAGACACCGCCTCGGGCGCAGCATCTATCGACAGGAATGGGCCATCAACAAGGAGATCAACGTCCCTCTGGCCTCCTCCATAGCTATGGTGGCTGCTCCGACTGCGCCGCGGGCGGCGTCGGCGGCCATGGCGGCTGCGCAGACGGCGTTCCCTCCCCCTCCCCCACCCGCGGCTATGGCGGAGGCTGTCGCGACGCCGGCGGAGAGGATGACGGTGGTGGTCCAGCACTCTGCTGACGTGGAAGCCGCAGCAACGGCTACATTGGATCGAGCGCCATCGCGATCCCTATTCTTCTCCGCACCGTCTGGGGGTCCCGGTGACCTGTCGGCCGCCGCCTGCTGCGGCGGCGGCAATGATTCCCGTCGTCTCGCGCACTTGTTAGCAGTGCGCGCCGAGCCCGACGGCCAATTAACGACAGGCGGCGGTGGAGATTGCCCCCGTTACGTGCTCGCCGGTCAGCGAAGCAGCTCATTGGATTGCGCCTTGGCCGATGTTCTGGCGGGAACTGCCGGCCGTCTTCCGCTGGGCTGTCGATCCCGGCTTCCACTGCAGTTGCACCTCCAGCATGCTCATGGCTGCAACGCCTCCTCACTCTCTCTCTCTCTTCCCCGTCTCTATCAATCCTTGCAGGATATGAAAGAGGGTGCGACGTGGCAGTCACTGCATGCCGATCGTAAAGATGAATCTTCTGAGAGGTTTCCACTTAGTAGCACAGCGCAAAACGTCTGCAGCTGCAACACTTGCAAGGCCAATCAGGAAGGACGGGGACCTAATCAAGAAGGAGGAGGGGTGGGATTCATAGCAGAACCTCTTCGGGGGTCTCCTTACCCCCTTGATTACCCCCCCATTGATCTTCGACACCCCGCAGGCGACCAGACACAGAGGCTGCCACCACGTGTCATCACCAGAACGCAAGCCTGTTGTCCCGAGGAGGGTAGCTGTCAGCATATCAGCAGCCGTAAGCGTAATAACAGACGCAGCAGCAGTAGTAGCAGTGCTGGCACGAATGGTAGTACCAAAGCCGACGACGGTTCAATTCTCCGTGATATCACGAAGCAAGTGATTGATGGCGAGGGTCTCGTGTGTCTTTCTACATCCTCCTCCTCCTCCTCCTCCTCCACCTCCTCCTCCTCCACCTCGTCGTCTTTCTCCCTACCTTTCCATGCTTCAGCGATGTTCAACGACAATGCATCGTCGTTATCACTCGCGTTGGCAGCCGCTGCAGGACCATCGACCTCTTCCCCCATTCCCCACTCCTCCTCCTCCTCTTCCTCTCTCTCCCAATCTCTCCATGCCCCATTACTATGGAGTAACACGCTCTCAGCTTCGGCCCGACCGGTAGTCGATCTTCGTTGGGCAGGATCCGCACCTGGACAGACTGGTGGACCAGGTGCTGAAACGCAATCTCCATGGAGTTGGCCGGCACTCGTAAGCTGCCCAGCAGGAAATAGGAGTGCCGTCGCCTCGCATCTGAAGAGGGAAGAGGACCAGTACTTGGTCCGACAGGTGGACCAGGTGGTGAACCAGGTGCAGCAGCAGCAGCAGAGCCGCCATCTGCCCCGGACAACGCTCTCACCCGGAGATTTACATGTTCTGAAAGCCAAGCGCGAGGAGGAGGAGGACGACGAGAGGAACGATCAAGGGAATGGGCAAGAGGAGGAGGAGGAGGAGGAGGAGGACAGGGAGAAGGAGGAGGAGCAGAAGAGTGGACATCTCTTGACCCAGGACGGCAGCCATAGCCAAGCAGCTGCCCCTGTGCTGCCTGATCTGCAGGCCATTACGATCACCAGCCACACCAGCAACGGGCAGGAGAAGAATGGAAATGGTCAAGAGGAAGAGGAGGACAGGAAGGAGGAGGAGGAGGAGCGGAAGAGTGGACATCTTCTGGGCCGGGACGGTGGCCACAGCCAAGCAACTGCTCCTTTGCTGCCTGATCTGCAGGCCATTACTACCACCGGCCAGAGCGGCCACGGGCAGGAGAATGATGGAAATGGGCAAGAGGAAGAGGAGGGCAGAGAGGAGGAGGAGGAGGAGGAGCAGAAGAGTGCACTCAGTGGGCATCTCCTGGCCCAGGACGTCGGCCATAGCCAAGCAACTGCCCCTGTGATGCCTGACCTGCAGCCCATTACGATCACCGGCCAGAGCGGCGACGGACAGGATAAGACCGAGGGGGCAAAGCACCAGCAGTTGCTAGTACACTGTCGGCTTGGCCACCATAGCCAGATAGCTGTGTGCATGCCGGCTTCTTCTCAAATACGCTTTCAATCGTTCGACAATGACAACGGCGGGAACGAGAAGGCAGTGAAGAAGGAAAAGGATCCTCTGTTAGTACATCACCACAGCCATCACCATAGCCATCACCATAGCCATCACCATAGCCATCACAGTAGCTATCTCCATGGCTATGGCTGTGGCGATCCAAGAGCACCTACCACCTTGAGGTCGGATTTACTACAAGCTCTTCGTGCACAATGCACTGAGAAGCAGAAGCAGAAGCAGAAGGAGAAGAAGAATGAACCAATGTTGCAGGAGGAGGAGAAGGACATGGACAAGGAGAAGGAGGATGGGGAGGAGGAGGAGGAGGAGGAGGAGCAGAAGAAGAAGAAGAAGAACCTGTTGGGTCTTCTTGTGCATAAGTACAACGGACAGACAATTGTACCAAAGCGGGCAGCTCAAGGAGAGGAGGACAAAGAAGGGGAGATGGAAGAGGAGGACGAAAAAGAAAAGCAGCAGAAGGAGGAGGGAGTGGAAAGGACAGCGGTACAGAGTGCTGCTGATAAACGTCTATGTGGTGTCATATTGCCTGTTGGGAGGGATATGACGAAAAGCGGACCAAGTGCCACGAATCCAAGAGCATTTAAGCTGCTGCCAGTATTCTATGACCAAAGGCACCTTTTTGTTCGAGGAGAGGTAAAGCCCAAGCTGGACCTGGAACCGGACCTGGAACCGGAGCTGGAACCGGAGCAGAGGCTGCCTTCAGGGAATGGGCAAAAAGCAGAAAAGGGGGTACCCAAGGCTCGAACCGGAACTGGAACTGGGGCTGGAACCGGAGCTGGAACCGGAGCTGGAACCGGAGCTGGAACCGGAGCTGGAACCGGAACCACAACTGGAGCTGGAGCACCTGGAATGAGAGCCGGAATTGGAACTGGAGCTGCAACCGGAGCTAGAATTGGGCCTGAGGCCGGAGCTGGAACTGGTACTGGAACTGGAACACCAACCGGAGCTAGAACCGGACCTGAGAGCGGAGCTGGAACCAGATCTGGAACCGAAGCTGGAACCGGAGCTGGAACCGGAGCTGGAACTGGCGCTGGAACCGGACCTGACACCGGAGCCGGAACCGGAGCTGGAACCAGAGCTGAGACCGGAGCTGGGACAGGAGATGGAACAAAGACTGCAGCAGGAACCAGAACAGGAGCTGCAATTGGAGCTGGAACAGGGGCGGGCATCGGGACCGAAAGCGCACCTGGCCCAAGAAGTGGACCTGGAACAAATTCCGGAACCGGAGCCGGAACCGCAGGTGCAGTCAGCACTGCAACCGAGGCCGGACCAGGAACTGAAAATGGACCTGGAATGAGCATCGGAACCGGAACCGGAACCAGAACGAGAACCGGAACTGGAGCAAGAACCGGACCAGCGCCTGGAACTCAGGTAACCGGTAGAGTACCCAGCACTCGGCTGGCTCAGAGCAACCAGCAGCAGCAGCCGGAAGAAACAATCAACACGGGAGGAGGTGGTCCCGCATCTGAGCCCGTGGTCCCAGTTGTGAAACCAGCTGGTACACGCCGTGGTCCCAGGTCAAGAAGCTCGGAGTACAGAGGAGTGACATTCTACAGGCGAACTGGTAGATGGGAGTCCCATATTTGGTAAGTGAATTTTTTTTATTTATTTATTTATTTTTTTTTTTT